GCCCTTGAGCTTTTTGGTATATGGCTGGAGTAATGCTGTGCCTGGCTGATCTAATGGCAGGGGTGCATTTCTGAAGTTGTCCTCTTGTTTCCCTCACACTCCATTTCCTTCACCCCAAAGTTTGAACTCCTAAAAACAAAAACAAAAAAGCACTTCTAGGTACTCCACTTCAGTTTATCTGAGGAGGGCAATCCCGCCCCAGCTCAGTCTCTTTGTTTTAAGGACTTTTAGTCTCTGGGTTCTCTCCCCCTTTTTAAAGAGTGAATAGGTACAAAGGTAAGTATGGGAGATGGAAAAGCAAAGTACAGTGGTATCTCTGGTTACGTACTTAATTGGTTCCGGAGGTCCGTTCTTTAACCTGAAACTGTTCTTAACCTGAAGCACCACTTTAGCTAATGGGGCCTCCCACTGCTGTTGCGCCGCCGGAGCCCGATTTCTGTTCTCAACTTGAAGCAAAGTTCTTAACCCAAGGTACTATTTCTGGGTTAGTGGAGTCTGTAACCTGAAGCATATGTAACCCAAGGTACCACTGTATTAATTTTGAATCTGCGATAGTTGGCTTAGGGCTTGTCTGCACTGGGTTTTAATGTGGGTTTGCAGCTGTGTGTGTTCCCAATTGATTTGCATATAGTGCACATGACATTGCCCTCACACAACACCAGTTTTGATGCTTTTCCCTTACAAATTTTGGCTTATTCGATACGGGGATAAATCCAGTATGTTGGGGGAAATCAGGTTCCAAGCCACTCAATTTGGGGTCATGGACAATTTGTTTCTGTGTTGTCACTTTCTGCTACTCTCCTTCCTATGTACACTACTTCTTTAGTGCTTTCATTTCTCTTCTAGCCTTGCTTGTAACCATTTCTGGAGATATTTTTGTTAATTTTTTCAGATTTGCACAAAACCTACACCAGATTTATTGGGCAACAATCTGAAAAGTGTGTGCTTGAGAATTTACATTTGTCTTCATTTCTTTTCTAGCATGCCAATAATGGTGTGTCAGGAACTTAGCCATCTATGTATATATGTATTCTTTAGATCACTCAAGATTTGCACAAACCAAAAAACTGCACAAGCAAATTTACTATTGTTTAAGTACTTTTGCACACTTCTTGGGTGGGGAATATATATATATAACGAAGTGGACACACAGCTATCTGCACATGCTCTGTCAGCACTTAATTGGCATGATAGAACCAACAAATTAGAAGGCAGGGACAAACGCAAAAGGGAATGGCTACTGATATGGTTAATAGCCAGATGTAGTGGCCCAGCTGTGGGACTAAATAATTCTCAGATGTTGATAAAAACAACATAAGAGATGCAGAAGAGAATAAAGACCACTTCTTTCAGGTGTACATGCCAGAGAGCAAAATACAGAAATGGTGTCAAATACTGTTGTATGTTTCCCTTCTAAATATCCACCAAGGTCATGTGTATATGGGAGATGGAAGGCAGCAAACCAGTCCATGCATGTATTATTTGTTATTCAAAAATCTCTGCATGTTTTGTGTTTCCCAAGTAGGAAAAAAAAAAGTGGCACAAACAGGGCCTTTAAGTAAATTGGCAACTGGGCAAGTGGTAATTCACTCAAACAGCTTGATGAGCATGGCTAGCTGGCAATGATCATGTTGGCCCATCTCAAGGGATTGTGCTGCAGCTATCACAGGGCCAAATAGTGTTCCTTTGGCACCCAGTTATAGGTAAATGTTTATAGTTTGTTGTGTGTCTCCAGCTACGCATTTTGCTCTGCTGAGATAGTCTCCCAGCTACAAGCAGAATACTCAGGGGGAATTGTTTATTGAGCTCTTAACATCGACACCCCTGAGCCATTGTTAACAGGGTATATGCACATCTGTTGTATTCTAGAGGCTACACAACTGTACTTTCCAGTTATGACCAGACAGACACACCTTAGCTGTTGCTTCTTTCTGTGTTAATACATAATGCTTATTGAAACTGCCCTATGTTTAAACATGAAGGTCCAAGAATGTGGGGCACAGGATAGCTTACACTTCTTGCTTCTTTTAAGGTTCCGTGCAAAAGTCAAAGTGTAGTGACCTTAAATTTCAGATGGCAACACTTTAGTCTTGCAATTTGTTTTCCCAACATCAATGTAAGCTGCTTTGGGAATCCCTTTTGAACATAGAGCATAGATTTTACTACTAAATGAATAATGCTGGGGTCTCATGGAAAGTTAAGAGTAGGTCTTCTGTGCATCAACCGTAACATCTAACATTTAGCCCAGAGAAAAGTTAGCTCGGCCCATTCAAAATGCTATGTCCCATGTCTGCCTTTGGGGGCTATGTCTGATGGATTGTGCCCCCACCCCGCAATCTGCTGCCAATTCTGTGCTATAGAATGTATAACAATGTTATATTGTGACATCATTGGCCATGCAAGAGGCAGGGAATCTCTGTGGAACTGTTGGCTCTCCTCTTAGCATTCTTTACAGGTTTAATGGCCTAGCTTGCCATCAAACTGTGGTCTGGACCAACAATATCTATGATGGATGTGAGCTGTTTTACGGGGTAGAGCTCAAATTGAGTTGGGCTGCAAGGATTAGCTTGCTGCAGCACCGTTCTAGAGTGCCTAGCCCTCTCTTGAACATCCATTAATCAAGGGCCCCTGCTTCCCATCCCATCTGCTTTAGAAATGTTTCTGTGGAAGAAAACAGCCTTTGGATTAAACCTATGGTCTGTCCCATGCTTCTTGTAGACACCTTGGGTTGGGTTCCATCCCTTTGTGATAGGCTACTCACAGTAACCAAGACTTGCTTGGAAATTGCCACTGATTTGGAACACAATTCCTAAGAGTATCAGCACACAGGCTTCTATGTGAAATCTCCTAGATTGGCATTAGGGATTACAATGTTAGAAGATAGTTTTTGTTTTGTCCCTTTTTTGTGCTCTCTCTCTTTCTCTTTCTCTTTCTCTCTCTCTCCGTTGCATGCATTTGCATTTGTGTTGTCTGTCCTTTCTCTTGTTCACCATTTGCTTCTGGTCTTTCCTACTAAACAGCTGCAGTTCCGGAATCCTGCCCCATAAGCATTGAGGAATAGGTATGAGATTTGCGAAGTCCTCTGCTGCTCACTTCGTCTGAATAAACCTAGATTTCATTTTGCAATATAATCTTTCTCTCTAAGGCTTTGTTTGATCAACACAGTCCCCACCCCCTACACACTTTTTTTGAAAAAAGGAAGGATTGCCTCTTGCGCATGAAATATTGGCAGGGGCAAGTGATTCTTAATCACTTCTTGTACCGAAACACAACTGCAGAATGGGCTTTCTTAACTCATTGGTGCAAATGACTTTTAAAAGCCAAGCTACAGAATTTGAGGCTGCAATCCTACACATGCTTACCTAGAAGTAATTGCCATTGAACCCAGTGAAATTGACTTTTGAGGAGACATGCACTAGATTACACTGTAAGGCAAACTGTTTGCCCGGGTGCATTTTTCTGTTTCTAGCCATGTACTGGTTACCCAGGCTATTTCATGTTCAGGGACTAAGTCCACAAATGTTACAAAGGGTATAGTGGGATGGATTTTAGTTCACATGTACTGGGGCAATTATTACCCACCACAACTCTTGACTCTCTTTTGCCTTAGGATAGGCTGCTAAAAAATACGGGTCCCGGTACCAATCCTTGGGGGATTCCACTTTCAACATCCCTCCATCCCTGTTCTCTACTTCCTGTTTCTTGATCCACAACAGGACCTCTCTAATTCCATGACTGCTAAGCTTACTCAGGAGCTTTTGGTGAGGTAGCTTGTCTAAAGCTGCTTGAAAGTCCAAGTGCACAATATCAACTAGATTCCCTCTCTGTTATATCTATCTACTAATCTGTCGGACTACAGAAATATATTGACTGTTTTTGTCTTGGGCGCTCAACCACTTTGATTAGCAAATGCCCATAAAATGTTTCCTTCGCAAGAGTGCAAAAAGACTAATGCTGCTGAATTGACTAAATTTGACCATTCAAAAGGTTGCTGTAAACAATTCCTTGTGCTATCACATCACAATTAACTTTACATTTCAGCAAGGGCCCATTCCCGAATGAAGGGGGAGTTCTCATACTTCAAAGATTAAGTCCAGGAGGGAGGGAGATAACCGTTGCTGGATATTCGGTTTCTATATAATAGTTGCACTTTCTCTCTACGCAGCAATGATTTCCTAATGAAATCCCTGCAAAGTGTATGAGATTTAGAGCTGTTTTGCAGGAGTTAATTGCCTCATTTAGCATATAACTATGCTGTAGGCTGGCAAGTGGTTTTCTTTCTTTTTTGTTTAGTACAAATATAATGCCTTGGGGTCAAATTAAAGCACATGAAAGATGTACTTAGTTGCTTCCTGTAGTAAATGAAAATCCCAGCTTATAACTTATGGCATTTCTTGACTGTAGGCTCCATAGATGCCAAATAATTAAAATGTCTACTTTTTATTCACTGCATCAAAGATGAGAATATAAATAGCTGCGCTGTGCCCAGGGCAGCTGTTTTCATACTTGGGCTATAGCTAAACTAAGATAAGTTAGAGTTATAGGGAATGATGTACAGCACTCTGTTAAAATGGGCCTGTTATGTTATCAAGTTCCTAAGTCTGTCCATCTGCGATCACAGAACACAGGCCTAGGCCAATAGGACTGTTCTTACGGAATGGAAGATACCAAAATATTCCTAGAATGAAGAGCCTCACGGGCAATTCCTTTTACTAAATCCAGCAACCATTTGAAGATGTTCTCACAGTGTGAGGCTGCTAAGTTTAGGAAGGCACCTAAGATACTTCCAGACACCATCTGCCTGTTCTTATATGGAAGACATTTGTAGGCATGCTTTGTGTATTTTCAGAAACTTTCATTTTGTTTGAAACCACAGCAGCAGCTTCCATATTCACACTTGTATGGGTAACCTGTCAAACCTGCAGTGAAGATACTATAAACAGCTATTTATGTTGGTTGGCTTGTTCAATTTTTCATGATCACCTGGAGGACCTAAGAGCATGATAAGTTTCCTTTTCTTTAAATGGATGGTTAAAGTGGTAGAAGAAATTATGACAAACCTCCATTACTATATTTTAAGTGCAGGTAGGAAAAGGTAAATATTTTTTAAAAATAAAATAAAAATTAGTTTTACCGAAATTCAGATATACCTTGTAACAAATGTCAGTGTTACAGAATGAACCCAGGGCTCAATGAGGACCTAAAATGAGTTCTGTAAAAACTGCCACCCCTAGTTATTGACTGTTATTAAGAACCAGTCTTCCAGTACTCTTGCCAGAGTCTGTAGGCCACTACATCTATTACTTGCCTAGATTTTAAAGCACAAACCTCTTGTTTTTCCATTCTTTGGCGCTGGTATTCTGCTTCCTATTATCCCGCTAAGCTCTCGCCAATAGTATTATCCATTACTTTTCTTCTCATAGGTATCCAGGCGTCAGCTGACAATCTTCTGAATCACAGCCAGACCCTGAGGCGCCACTTTTCTGCCAGCAGCATCAACCTGGAGTACGATGAAGATTTGCAATGCATGCTGGGACTTCTGTGCCCTCGATGATGTTGCGTTGTGTGGAGAGGAAAATCACAGCACTGAACATGTTTCCCTAAAACACTTAAAGCAGCAAAGCTGTGGGCATTACCCCTGTCAAACCCTGCAGATGATGTGACATTGTTTTAAAAACACCACACATGGTAGCCAAGAATCCACATTGCCCTTGTAATCATTCTGTGTTAAAACGAACACACAGTAGGACTGGCTGAATGGCTTGAGTTGGGTTCAAATGATGAACTTTGATGCTTTGTCTCCTGTTATCATCTTGTCAACTCAGCATTCCCTGTTCTCTGCTGATCTTTGTCTTTATGGTGTAACCGAATAATTGTTTGGTAATTGCCATAACACCCGTTTCCCTTTTTAAAAAAAATCAAGGAATTAATGCTGCTTCACCTATTTATAATTCTTGACAGGTGCATGTAGAATGTGTACCTGTAAAAATGTAATGTACACAGAGGACAAATTCATACTTGCAAACTAATGCATTGGCACAGCTCCCTATCACATCTACGCAGTGTGGAAGACATGTATTCGATGCCACCTAGTACATGCAGCAGACATGATAGCAGAAGAAATGAGTTTATAGTTCCTTCACCCATTCTACACTCGCCCTGAAGATTTTTGAGCTGCCCAGATAATGATTCCAGGTCACAACTAAGCAATCAATATGGGGGATATGTAGTATCCATTATTCTTCAAGATTTGGGCTGAATTCTATGCTGCATAGAAGTGGCAAGATCTAGTACAAAGGGTCCCCCCCCCCCTTTAAAATATGGAACATCTAGCAGCTGTATCTTAGAATGGGGGAGAGAAATGGTAAGCAGACAGCCAGTCAAGAGAAAATAACAAAAGAGATTCATTGTGTGAAAACACAACACCGCCCTAGTGGCTGTTTTCTGCTAATTTTGGACCCCATCAGAGGTGACAGAACAGGTGAAGTTAGGCATGTGGACTTGTGGTTGGGAAAAGATTAACTGGCACCAAGTTAGAGGAGCGTTAGTAAGTGCACTTGTAAAGTGATATTATTAAGGCAGACTGTCCCTTAAACTTCATGCATGGCATTACTTAAAAGTGCAGTCTTCCCCCTATGTGATAAAGGCCTTTTAAATGCATCATTAGCTATGCATTTGTTCACTGTTAATGGTCTTGGTTTCCTTGGTGATGAGTGTACACAAGTCCTGCTGAAGCCAGCAGTTCCCCAGTCATTTTAACAAGCTGTCCATCCCAGCAGTCGAATTTGGTCTTTGGTTGGGACCCACCTGTTGAGTCGAAATTCTCATCCTTCCTTGAGCTGCATTGTCAAGCCTCCCCCTACTGTGCAGAGGCTAGTTGCCAGCAGTCTGGTGAATCACCAACACAGTTGTTTTAGAACCTGCTGTTTGAGAATATTTGCACTAAAACCATTGGAAGTTTTGCTGTTCTTGAATTGAGGGTGTGATTTCTAGTACACCCTGGCAAAAAAAAAAAGAAAAAAGGAATGAACATAAAGTGGCATTTGAGCAATTGCAACTGTGGGGGGTGGAGTGGGGATTAGTGAAGTCTCCTCTTGGTCAGGTAAGGTTAGATTGGTGGTGGGTTTTTTGAGCTGGGCTTGACTACTCTCGCCTCATACCACTTTCATTCCTTTAGCTCTTTCCTACTGTAGAACAAAATTAATGGTGTAGCACAAAGATGGCTTCACAAGTCTTTCTGGGCAGACTCCTTTGATCCTCCAGAAGAAGGAGAGCAGGTTACATCTTTAGCTTTGTGTTAACTGGCCCCCATCATCAAAGACAAAGACTTTGTCTCAGGCCTTTCTGTCGCATCTTCCTGTGTATGGTCAAGCAAGAAAACATTTGTGTTGCATTGTCTTCACCAGCAACACACCCTTCAATATTCCATTTCCCTGTCTACTTTTTGTTTCTCCTTGAAGAGGGGAATGAGAGGATTAAGAAGAATGCTGGACACTTTTCAGTTTTTCTGGAGAACATCGGTTGTGTCTTTAGAAACAACAAAGAGGTATTGTGTCCCAAGTGTGCACATAGTTATTTTGTCCACCCCACCCCAGCTGGTCAGTCAGGTTTTTCTGTATAATCTGTTTACAAGAGACAAAGGGGTAAATATACACACCTTCCACTGTGAAATGCCTGTCATGTGGCTCTGGCCTTTACTGTAATTGACTGGTGGTCATGACAAAACTCTAGAACCGGAAACCTTGGATACAGCCTTTAACCTGCTAATTACCACGCTGAGGAGCTTTCAGTATGGGAGTCTTGGGAAAATGGCCGTGTGGTCTTGGGAGTCCTCACAAGGGATAGTGGGGTCGGTGAACACCAGAAATGCTTGCTTTAGTTAAATTAATCAAGTTCTCCTTTTCCCACTGCTCCACCAGTAAGCCTGTTGTAGGATAAAGTGCATTTTCTCAAGATTTACCTAAGCATTCAAAACGCTGTATGAAGCAAGACCTGAAGACTGGGAAAAGCAATAACAAGAAAAATAGGACTGGCATAGACAGCATGGTTGTGTGTTTTTCCTCAGCCCCCTCACATACCCCTATGAAGCAAACTCTTGTTTATGTTCCAGAGATTTCTCAGAAAATTGTAATAGTGGCAACATGGATGGAATGTGGGGTGGGGTTATTGAGGAGAAATGTATTTTCTTTTTGTTATTTCCCCCCTTTACAGGGGTGGGGGACAGTCAAAGGCAACAGAAATTGCAGGTGCAAGATGGTGTCCATCTGAATTTGTTACTGTGAAGCAGGCACGTGCAGCAGGGAAGCAAGTTGTGCCCCATGGAAGAGTACAGTCAGACTGTTCTTAATGGGTGCACATGCCACAACATGGGACTATGGAACCTTCTAGACACGCTTGTGTGCACCTCAGTGGCAGCAATGCAATATGTATTTATGACTGCATGGCTCTTTAAAAGAGTGAATAAAGCTGTTTACAAGGGATGGACAGCTGTTGCCTGGAATTGTTTGTGTGTGTCATTGTCTGAGGTAAAAGATGTGTTACCACCACACTATTATGGGCAGCGGTTTAAGTCATAGGGGCAGGCTGCTGCTTGCCTGTCAGTTCATTTGTTTAAAAATAAATTTTGAAGGGGGGGGGCTGTTTTAACATTCCTTAGGACATATTGTCCTATCTGCTTCCTCTTGTGACATCTACATCTCAGCAACACAAAAGCCATTTTCAAAATGTCAGGATTCATCTTTTTATTGATGTGCCTTGAACTGAATAACAGATCTATAGAAGCCGGAACGATTATTTGCGTCACTTAAAACAACGGCCTAGGGCCACAGTGAGTTATATGGGAGGTGTAGTGAGTCTTTGAAATCAGAAGATGGCATGCAAGAGCCAAACACTCTCTTATTGCCCCAGAGAAAGGGATTTGCAAATTACACAAGAGGTAGAAATTACATGAATGAGAAGCTTTTTGAGAAGAAATGGGTGGGAGAGATCTGCCAGTACTAAATTATAGTCTGGTCACAAACAAGGTCTGACCAGCAGAACATCTCTGCCACCCAAATTTGAATTGTACTACCAGAACATCTGTTATTACAAATCCAAATATTGCAGAATGTTGAATTTCAGCCTTGTGATTTTGTAAGTTGGATTTTGTGAGTTAAATATGGGTTTCAGTTCTAGAATTGGAGCGCCACCTGTCCCTGCAAGAGCCGTGACTCTTGGGGGTAGCTCTCTTGTAGGGTGATGAACACGGTGTATAAAGATGCACTCCAGAATGCTTGTCATCTCCCCTATTTATCAAAACTTTTCCTTAAAAATAACAAACGCTTTTAATGTTTCCAAAATGTATAGTATCTCACTGCTGGCAAAATATTGGGATGGTGGATTCTAGGGCTCAAGTTTAGGCAGGACGCTAATCATTGTGTTACTATACAGACTGGGGGACCGAGAGGTTCTGGAGGGTAAAAAAGAAAAAAAGGTGCCCCCGTTACTTTCCTCCCTCCTAAAATCCCCTGATATAGCACAGGAAAAGGAAGGTTTGGGGTTGCTGGTTTTTTACCTCATGAGTCACACCTCCCTGACCCTAACGCCTGAATAGTGGTTTAAGGGCTCAAGGAAGACAACTTCTAGCATCTTCTGTACCCCTTGCCTTTATAAACAAGCATAGTCATGATGAAACAGGACAGTTTTTGTTCTACAAGAACAAGCTACATGGCTGCAAAAATTATTTATTCTTACAGATTGTTAAATTAACTTCACTGTGAATTAGAACTAAGTTTGTCCTTTCAGATTGCAACTGTCCTTCACCCTTCCACATTCTCACATATACCAGCTATTTATTTGCTACTGAAAATTAAACAATGCTCACCATGCAATTCTAACTTTGCCAGCAAATAGAACTGTGCCCTATTAACTGGTTGCCAGGAAGATGGGGGGGGGGGGGCTAATGTGTGTGTTTTGGTTTCACAGCAGTAACGCTTACCGCATGAACATTTAACAGGGCGGTTGATAACTGGGGGATTGGAGACAGTCGGTAATGGGTGGTGCACTGGAGACAATGTGCTTTAAAATCATTAGAGGAGGAACTGTGCCAATATAATTTCCATTCTGAGATTGGCAGAGCAGAAGTGTAAACGGCAGAGAGCACCCTTTAACTCAAGATGTGCGCCGCTCTTTGTGAGTGAGCAACTGGTATGTTGCAACCTCTGCCGTTGGCGCTGGGCCTGCTTCCAAAGTGGGTAAACTGTCTTAGCGGGGCATTGTCTGATGCTTTTGTGAGGGCAATGGAATGTAAATGTCAGATAAACAATATGAGAGAGAGAGAGAAAAGATCTTTAAGGGCAAGAGATTGGCTTTATGTGTGAAGGAGTGATACTGGTCTCATAACATTTGTATCCTGCTTTTCCTCCAAGGAGTCCAAGGCAGTGTACTTGATTTCCACACAAGCACACTGCTTCATTTAATCCACATGACAACCCTGTGAGGTGGTTTAGCCTAACAGATACTGACTGGCCAATGCAAGATCTACCCAGTCCTAGTCTGAGACTCTAGCCAGTCCACCACTCTGGTTCAGCTGAAAGCAGCCATGGTAGAAGACTCAATTGTCTTGGTGGGCTGTGGGCAAAATCAAAACAAGGTTTTGAGAACTGTTCCACATCTCTGCTGTCCTTTTGACACGGGGAGGGTTTCTGTCCATTTCTCCCCTGCCTGCCCATACCTTACTGCAGCCTGTTTTAATTTTTCAAAGACTGTAGGGGAAGTGACTGATTAACAGAAATATTTGGACACTACTAGCCAGGTGTGTTGATGTCACCACAGTTCAACTCTGCCCAGCAAAACTCTGCTGAAGCTCTCCAGAATAAAACACACCTCAGAGCATCAGCTGACCTGGACGAGGTAGGCCCACCTTCCATTTCTAAGACAGATTTCCATGTGGGAAATGTACTTGATTTCAATGTGTGTGTGTGTGTGTGTGTGTGTGTGTGTGAGAGAGAGAGAGAGAGAGAGAGAGAGAATTGTAGGCAGAATGGTAGAATGGCACTTCAGCCATAAAGCTCCCCTTGAGCTCATTAGTACTTCTCAGCCTTGCCTACCTCACAGGCTTGTTGTAAGAATAAAAAGACAGGGAGTTATATAATCTACCATAGACGCTTTGGAGGAAGAACAGCATGAACATGTAATAAATACCTAATATCCATTTCAATCACCCCTTTTTTCTGAAAGAAGGGAGGGGGCATCCTATTATATAGGGCTGCGGCTGTAGCCTCTTAATTAAAGAGGGGGGCACACCCAGCAACCTTTTAGATGCAGGGTCTGCAGTTCTCCTACACACACAATATTTCCCCCCCCCCTATCCCCTTTCATCTAATTACTTCAGGTTACACAAAGGTCAAGGGGAGAAGGTAAACTTCTCAGAACTGAAGCGAGTAAGCAGAAGGGAAAAGCCGTGCTGGCTGCCTTCTCTGGGCCCAAACTGCACGTGGGGTCAATTTGGCCCCCGGAATTTCTTAGCATCATGAAAGGCTAACTATTAATTCAGCCATGGCCAAGGTTCAAGGAGAGCCAAGACCTTTGCACATGAATGCCCTCTCCTCCTCCGCACCCCTCCAACGGCAAGCAATGACTCTTCATCGTTTTCTCTCAAATATAACTTCAAAGCAGAGGTAATGTCTCGTCGATTGGGAGGGGGAGTTGAAGGGGGGGGGAGAGTCAGCAACTGCCCTGCCCTGCTGATCAGAGTGGACAAAAGCAACGCCAAGCTAAAGAGATGAGGGGGGAAATTGCCCCAGTGAAAGGAAGAAGCAGGCGGTTGAAATCGTTCCCTTTCTTTCCAAGGCCTGGAATCTTTCTGGTTGCTGGGTTGTTTATTCTTGGCAGAGGAGATCTCTCTCTCTCTCTCTCTCTCTCTCTCTCTCTCTCCCCACACACCTCCAGCTTTCCTTTAGTATCCCGAAGAATAATGGGCATCTGGGAGCTGTTTCAAGTGGACTTTAATTTGTCTTAATGAAACTCACAGCAAATAATTCCCAAGCGCCCACCCCCCACCCCTCTGTGTGCGCAGTGGCCACATACCAACCGAGCCACCCGTACAAGCAAAGCAGCCGACGGGGGGCGCGCGCACACACAAGCACGCGCTTTTGAAAAGAAGCCCCCCACCCCCTCGCCGGGTCGTTTATTTTTTTTTTAAAAATGCGTGCGATTGCGTTTCATCAGATATCTAAAAGCACTTAGATTTTAAAGGTTTCATAAGCTTCTCTTTTCCCAACACGGCAGCCAGGATCCGTGACTAAAAATTAACTGGTGGCAAACGAAGCAGGTGGGAGGGGGGCGCGATGCGGAGGGGAGAGAGATGGATGGGGGGCAAAACAAAGTTTGCGCAAAGTAGCAGAACCGCAGAGAGAGAGAGAAACCCTGTCAAGTGATTGCGCTCTCCATGGAGATCCGAGGACCAATGAGAGGGGCAGAAGCTGTTTATAGGGGCGGAGCGTCTCCATAGCATCCAGAGAAGCCTTTCGGAGCAGCTACTTATTGACAGTCATTCTGTTGCTTACAAATCACAGCGGCTCCGGAATAAAAGGGCTCTGGCAGCGAGGGGCGTAATAATTCATCCAACGGGAGAGCAGTAGAAATCTACCCTATTTCCCTCCCCGGCCCCCACCGCCACACACTTCACCCCACTGAATATTCGGCGCTTAGTAGTAAACACTTGGCGGTAGTGGGATTCCTTCGTAGGAACAGGTAAGATAAACGGAATTATTTGTTTCTTCATAAGGCGGGGAGGGCAGGCCAGCTTTATTTCTCCGCCACGTTATCCTGGGGAGGCTGGAATCCTCCCAGCACACAATTTTTTTTTATTTTATGGTTCTGGCCAGACGTGAATGCAGAGGGACCCTCTCATGAATCCATCAACGCAAATGTAACAACACTTTCATTTAAAAGGGGAAGAAATAATCCATGGTAAGAGCCTTTTGGGGGCTTGATTGAATTCTGTGTTTTTCATGTGAAGATGGTTGGCATGAATCTTCATGTACTAGTTCAGGGGGAGTAAAGCTTAAATACAGGTACTCGGCCACTCTTCTTCTGGTTCTCCAACCTAAACGCCCTCTTGTTATGCTTACATATGTGGCATACAAGATTCATAGGATTTCAAAGCAGCCCAGTCCTATGCATAATATACTGGGCATTAAGCCCCATTGAGGTAAATGGGGCTTACTCTCTGGGTACAGGATTACAGCCTTGAGCAGCCTAGGTGTGATTTTACCCTCTGCTCTATGAACCAGCTGAGTCAAAGCAGTCAGGTTTAAACCGATTTAGCTCCCTGCCAAATCAATGGGAGCAATTTACAACCCTAAGCCCATTACCTGAAGGTAGGTCCCATTGAAATCAATGGGATATACATCACATAATGTGTTTGGCACTGGGGTGCCACTTGCCTTAATGAAAGTGCTTCAACTTATGGATTGTGTTGCTGGAGGTAGATTTTCCTTTTTTTAAAAAAATGAATCACGTTTATCCCCAAGATAGCCTTGGAAATTCTAGGCATTATGGAATGGCATGAAACTCCCACCATCTTAACCATTTTTAGGGCAGTATTCATACCTCTGATGTTGAAGAAAACAAAAACAAAAGCTGATGGTGTTGTGCATTGAGTGAGGAATCAATGACAGATTTAAAACAGAGGCTACTTCAAATCACTAAGATGGAATCTGTAAAAGGGTTAGGGACTGTCAGGTTTGCAAGCTGAAGCATTTATGAAGCTGAAGAAATTTTTATTTACCTAGAAGGAGATACTAACATGTTCATTTCAGTTGCATGTTTCTAGCTGGGTTTTAAGTGTTTCAATAGGAACAAATGCTACTTAGATTCTTGGCAGTTTTGCGAAAAATCTTGCCACAAAAGAAAAAAGGGGCATTTGGGTGAATTCCACCCATCTTAGGCTGTGGTCTGCATAAAGCAGGCTAGTTAAGCAGGCTGGTTTGAGAAGGGGATCCTACACCCAGGGATGGCTCAATTCTCTGGGATTACTTCAAGGGTATATTTGGCTCCAGTGCTTTTAGAGTGTCTGGCTAGAAAACAACCTGCTCAAGTGTTTGTTTGTGAGCCGCCCATTTGTTAGGGGCTTTGAACTTCTTCGTGTTATTGTTGCAGGATTGTCACCCCCCTGCCCTTCCCCCTTCTTCCCCCTTCCTGCTCTCCCACAATTCCTGAATGTTGGACTTGCCTATTTTGGCTTCCCCTGACATGACTGACAGCTGGCTGAACGTGCAGTCTGAAGAAGAGAAAGGCCAGGAAAGCAGCATGGCGGATTCGAGCAACCTGGACGACAGCTTGACCAGCCTACAGTGGCTTCAAGAATTCTCCATCATCAACGCCAACATGGGCAAGGCAAGCTCTTCCCCTTGCAGCACAGATCCTCACGGCTATCACAAGATCCCTGGCTCTGCTGCACCGTGTTCCCCTCTAGCTGGTGACCCGGCTTGCATGGGGATGCCCCATACCCCTGGCAAGCCAATCTCCTCTTCCACATCCAGGACTGCACACCTGCAAGGCCAGCCATTAGAAGACATAGATTACAAGACTAATCCCCATGTAAAGCCTCCTTACTCCTATGCCACGCTCATCTGCATGGCGATGGAAGCAAGCAAGAAAACCAAAATCACCCTCTCAGACATCTATAAATGGATTACAGATAATTTCTGCTATTTCCGCCATGCAGACCCCACATGGCAGGTAGGTGCCTAGGATGGGACAGCCCATACCTCTCTGCATTTTGGCCACCCAGTCATGTGGGTGAGGTTATAGTGCACTTGCTACTGTCTCCATGTTTTCTGTTGGCTACCCACTGCAGTTCATGACCAGCCATCCTCCCAAATCAGCCTTGATGCTCCTATGACTTGCATTATCTGACAGTGAAACTGTTTCACCACTATTTAAATGCTCATAATTTCCATGTGAGCAAGTGTTGTGTACACCTAATATGCTAATGAAGGAAATCTAAACTACTTGGCCAGAATCCTTAAAAATGGCCATGCTTAGAGCAGGAAACAGCTCCATGCATTCTTAACACACAACACAGTTGATGTTTAGTCGTTTAGTCATGTCCGACTCTTCGTGACCCTGTGGACCAGAGCACGCCAGGGACTTACTTGATGGGACTTACTCCCAGCTAAGTAGAGTTAGGCTTGCAACCGGGGGCTGGACCCACATCATACCTTTTGAGCACATTCAAAGCATTCACACCCCAAATAAATCCTGGGAACTGTAGCTCACCCCGACAGAACTGCAATCCCCAGCAGCTATGACAAACTGCAGTTCCCAAGATTATAAGGGGTGGTGGTAGTGGTTATGTGCTTTAAATGTATGGTGGGTGTGCAAATTTAACCACTAGCACCCTTTTTCCTGGATCATCTTTTGTCATACATACATAATGTAAGGTTCCATCACTGTCAGTTGTGCCACCTTACAGGAGAACCAGCTATGTCTGTGGTCAGGTGGCTGTAAGACCCTCTTGCCACGAGATGAGGAACAGATCTCCTGTCAACCTTCTATGACATTAGAAAGCGACCAAGTGTTTGTAGTATTCATGCTGCAGCTCCTTTCTGTGCTTCCTTCTCCCTAGAGTGCAATTACTGTTGCTTGGTATGTTTCCTATCAAGGTGTTTTGCCTGGAATAAGCACTTAGTAGCACACAGAGGTTGTGGTAAATGAGAAAGCAGAGCAATGTAAACAGGCATTTTCTCCTTTTGAAGGTAGCAATTATCTAACAAAGACTGTGGATGATTGAGAGAATGTCCTTTTTTTTGAGGCTCCAACAAGCGTAAAGGAAGTGCCATAGAAAGTACTGAAAACAACACAGGGGCAGTTAAGGGGAAGAGAGAAGGAAACAGGTGGAGGGCGAAAGAAAAGTAAAGATGGCCAGAGTAGGAGCCAAGAGGCGGGTGGCGTTGCCTAGAGGTGATTCTCCTCCAATCTTTCATTGGATGCTTAATGCTGATAATCCAATCAATCATAAATGGACATTTGGAGTCAATTAACTGCACAACTGGGAGGCAGGGGTACCATTTAGAGAGGGAAGGGGGCAGTCAACCCCACTCCATCCTTCATTGTGGATAACATGTGATTATTCCCCACAAGTGTTTATATTTCTGGTTACAATGAGGTAGAAAAAATAGCCACAACAAACGCTCTCAGGATACCTGGTTTTTTAAAATAAATTTTATCTTGAATATACCCAAGAGTAAGCCTTGCACTTTGCTGTAAATCTTAATGCTCCACCCTGAAATGTCTTTGATTTTTCCCCAGATTTCAGTGGGAACAATCTTGTTAGGAGGGCTTTGGAAACCAGCTCTTTGAATATGGAACTATCTTCCATATTCGGTATCTGGAAGCTTAACTTCTTGTATCCAAAATTTAGTTGGTCACACAAGTAGGATATACTTGGCCGATTTGCATCATGCCTGGAGAGCATTTAAAACAAGCAACTGCTTCATACACTTCTAGGGAGAAAGAGGAGAAAAAGTCAGGGGTATAAATTTCTTTCCCCCCTATCCCACCCTTTGATCCACTGAGGAGGAAACGCAAGTGCCAAAGAAATTGATGTGTCTTTTCTGTGCGACCTGATGCTTTCCAAGATTGACTGTGGAGAAGCATTTGAGATAAGGCAAAATAAAGATTTGAGAGAGGTTATTAGGAAAGAGGTGCATCTAAGTGTAGAATGGCTGGGATATTGGATCAGAAGTATGCAGTGCCTCAAATGGTCAAAGACAGAAATATTATAACTTTTCACTAACCTCTTGGAGAGGTGTAAGTAACCTGCAAGGTGTTGCTAGACTACAATTCCCATCATCCTTGATCAATGGCCATGCTGGCTGAGGGTAATGAGAGTTGAAATCCAATAACAGCATATGAAGAGCCAAAGTCTCATGACCACCAGCTGAACAGCCTTGGACATAAGACATCAGCCTGCAATGAAGGCTGTGGCCTGTAATGAGAATAAATTCACTTTTGTTACCATGTTAACAACAATATTGAAATAATGCATGTTGAGGCTCTCTCCCTCCCATAGGAAGCACTACAGTGTAAGGAGGAATCTCTGTCCTTGAGCACCACCTCCTTCAATTCCCAGTGTCTGTGATACATGGTAGACTCATTTGTGTCTTTGGCTCCTTGAGGTTTAAAAATATTTGAGTCAACGGTAGGCTGGACAAGTAAAAGTTTGGGTAGGAAAAAAGAGGGAAAGTTTTGCCTTTCAGAAAATCCAAATAAAATTTGTTCACCAGGTCTTTATAAGGTACTTAACTGGACTCTATTGCTGTAGCATCTATATGGCTTGTAATTTTTTTATGTCCTTCAAATAGTCCTGGTAAGACAGTGAATCTGTAGCCCCACACCAATAGACGGAGACCCAAAAGTCAGCCTATTTCAAGCATCCACTCTTAATTCTATACCTTGGACTTCCCCTTCTGCTCTCAAAGCACTGTTTTCTAAAAATAATAACCATCATCATCATCTCAGTCAAAGGAAAATGATGAGTACATGTCATTCATTTCTGACAATTGTTGTGACAGTTTGATATTCATGGGTAGTTTTAGTGTTGAATCCTTGAGGGAAACCCTCTTGAGATGTTCCTTGTCACATCATCCTTAAGATCATAAGAGCCAACTCCTAGGGGTTGAAGGGAATTCACCCCCCCCCAAATTGAGGGGACCACCCCCCCACTAAGTTGATGGGCATTGCCATTCAAATGGTGTGCGTGCACCGCGTCATGTGATCAATTACAAGGGGTGGGGCTTATCTGGGCCCTCCAGTATTTTATTGAAGTTGGCACCCCTGCTTAAGGTGAAACAAAGAGTTTCCTCTCCATCCTAAGTGATTAGTGAAAGAGTTAGATTCTAGGTGGCTGGATATGATGGTGATGACATGACATGGTACAGAATTATTGTCATTCCATCACCTGTCAAAAGGCTGCCACTACACACTGCTAAGCTTGTTTCCAATCCTCCTAGTAGACTGTATCACAACCAGGTCTCTTGATGTGCCAAAACACTATTGCTTGCAGTCACTACAATAACGCTGCTCAGTGTAGTGGATGTTTCTGATTCCTACCATGGTCACAATGCATAAAACAAGTGTAACATCTAGCCTGATGAAGACTTCTGGAGAACTCAAAAGCTTGCTCACTATTTTCTGACATTCTAGTGGTCCTAAATCCTAATAAAGGTATTGACCAAAACTAAATCCATTAGGTTTCCTATGAGATTGGAACATTTTATGTTTTACAGAATTAACAACAACATGGGGATTAATAAGTACAAAAAGAAAGAAAGAAAAACCCTTGCATATTGATGTGGTTGATGCAAACTTTCCTGTTCTTTCTTTCCCCTTTTTAAAAAAACAAAAACCCAGTATTCACTCCCTCTTTATCGTGATGCAGGTGGTTTGATGGATCCTTGCAGGGAAGAATGATAAATATGCTAACTAGCTGGGTAATAATCAGCTTGTAGGCAAGCCCAGCAGATTTAAACTGACTCTAGCAGGGGAGAGGGTTATTCTCTGACCCTTGTAAAATTTCATTAAACAGTAAATTCTGACTCATCGGAGACCAGCGCGTTCACAGGAATTTCTTTCTTTCTTTTCTCCTTTCTTTCTTTTTTTCTTTCTTTCCCCTTTTTCCCATCGTGCCCATGTTCTCACCCGCCTCGTCAACCCCAGTTCCTGTAAGTGCAGACACAAAGTCAAAATGTCATGCCACCCATAAGCAGGGGGGTGGGGGGTGGGGAGAGATTCCTGTGGGAGCTGTGTGCTTTGGAAAGGAGCCAAGATGCCCAGGGAGTTTCAGCCTAGAGGAATAGCTTCTTATTATTATTTAGCCCTCCAGGCATTCAAGCCTTGCTTTTGCTCTTTGGCAATACGGATTATGGATGAATAAGCATAAAGATATCCAGGCAACATTTTTTTTAAAGAAAAAAAAAAAGAATGAAAAACTCTTGCACACAATCCTTTACCATATCCAATCTCTTAACACCCTCATGGCTTTGTGCTCTATAAGAGGGTGTTATTTACCCAATAACAGAGTTTCCTTTCTGACTGTGCACATCACTCCAGACACGCACATTCATTCTTCTGAGGAGTAGCTCTATGGGAACAGTAAATGCCCCTTCTTTTGGTTTCTCTCTTTGTTGCTATTTTTTTCTAGAGCTTTTCTGATTTTTCTTTTCTTTTTATGATGATTCAGAGGGTGATTTCATATGAAGTCCATTCCAACCAAAGGATGTTCCATGGGTGCACAAATGTGTGTCGTACATGGGTGTGTAAATATAAGCAATCCATACCAAGGAGGCCAGTGAGTGTGCAGAGCAAGGGGGGGGTTATGTTGTGTCCCCTTTTCCATTTCTGTCAAATGAAGTGGTTCTTTCACAGTGTCGTCATATTTAGCACCATAGTGTACCATGGTAGCTGTGGTTTATGGGATAATCCTTGAGCATCAGACATGTTGGTTCACACATCATTTGAAGCTTAGCTGTGCTTTAAAAGGCGAACCTGCAGTGTGCTGGTACACAGAGCAAAAACTGCAGCTGCTTCATTCCTCCCCTACGCCTGCCAGGAATGAAACCATGGTTTGGATTAGTGACACTTGAGAACCTGAGCTCACTGTTTGTTTTGTGCAAGCAAACCAGAAGCCAGAAGCCAAGAACAAACTTAGGTAATTTACAGTTTATGGTTTGTTTGGAGGGAGAAAAAAACAATGAGCCCAGGTTTAGATATAATCCTAGCAGCCTAGCATGAGCAGAGGAAGAGCAAAGTAGCTGAAATGTTAACAGTGCCTCAAGTACCTTGCATGTTCATTTTTAAACTATAGGTTTTTAAAGTGACACATCAGCCAGGCCAAAATCAGTTTTCTGGCTAGCATGGAATTTAAAAAACAATCCAACTATGAGGGCCATAAAATGTCTAGCTTACCTTTCTGGTCTCCTAAAGCATTGAGGTCTGTTCTCTTCTGATTTTGAGGAAGTGAGATGGTGATCTTCTTCATCTCACTGTTCAGAAAGTTGCTGTGAACACTTCTGACCAGAACTAGTGAAACAGAAACTGTCTCTTCTAGCACCATGGAAGGGGAAAAGGCGCTATTTCTACTACACTATTTCACTGCATTACAGTCTGTTCTGGTCCAGACCTAATATGTAGTCTCTTAGATTGAAAGAAACTATTCATTGTAACTGGGGCTGGGGAAACCCAGGCAGATGGGCAGGGTGTTGTTGTTGTTGGCATATTAAAGGAGACACTTGATCTTATGATGACTGACACTCAGGATAAATGGAGGGCATCTACATTAGCTTTTTCTTATATTAAGGTGCTCCCCCCCTCCAGTAATTCTGAATGAGCTGGAGCTTGGGGGAATATAAATGTCTTTCCTTAAGCATCACTAAAGGACAGCAAGGCTGGGCATGTGGTTGCTTAAAAATTACTTCTCTTTCTTTGCCCTCCACCTGCAGAGATTGTTGGGGTGCCTTATTTCCAGAGGTCAATTTTCCTCTTAATCTTCCACATATGCCTCCATCAAAACTCTCTTTGCACTTTCTCTTCCACCATCCATATTTTTTTCTCGTGCCAACACTGGACTGGATCATTATATTATCTTGTACATCCATCCATACCTGTCTTCAGGCTATTCCACCATGGCTTTCTGGTTTTCTTTTCCAGCTGAAACTAATTTTTTGTGTGGTTACTGAGTATCATCTCTTTTTTTTAACCACATCAGTTGTTTTTAAGGATGTTTTGTACTTCTGTAAATTTTGGGATTCCCCCTAATTACTCTAGTTTCTCGGTGGCTCAGTCTTGGCTCCACTTCTGCTGGCATGTTTGTTATTTAAAGGAGTGGTGGAAGGAGGGCAGCAGACTAGAAAAGGTGTGTCAATAAGAGAATGAGTGTCTGTGTACTATGAGGGAGATGAAAGACCCTTTTCACATTTTAAGTATTATTATTTATGAAAAGTTTTAAGTACAGATTTAAACAGATTTAATCTCATTTAGCTCTCTTCTTGACTTCCTTGACAACACCTTGGAAATGGTAGCTTTGCAAGAGTGCTGAGAATTATTTCTTAGAGACTTCTGCACAGAACAGCAATTTGAAAGCCAGGGTGTGCTTTGAAAGTCGTTTAAACTTGTAATATAGACACACATGGCATAAGATACCTATCTTTTCCTGAAAGCTCAGGGCAACCTAGAACATTTTAGCAGAATCAAACCTTGACACTAAGGGCAGATCCATACCCTACATTTAAAGTATATCCAACACATGGCTTCCCCCAAAAGAGTCCCAGGAACTGTAGTTTCCCCTTTGTTGTTGTTGTTGTTGTTTAGTCGTTTAGTCGTGTCCAACTCTTCGTGACCCCATGGACCAGAGCACGCCAGGCACTTCTGTCTTCCACTGCCTCCCGCAGTTTGGTCAGACTCATGTTTGTAGCTTCGAGAACACTGTCAAACCATCTCGTCCTCTGTCGTCCCCTTTTCCTTGTGCCCTCAATCTTTCCCAACATCAGGGTCTTTTCCAGGGAGTCCTCTCTTCTCATAAGGTGGCCAAAGTATTGGAGCCTCAGCTTCACAATCTGTCCTTCCAGTGAGCACTCAGGGGTAATTTCCTTAAGAATGGATGCGTTTGATCTTCTTGCAGTCCATGGGACTCTCAAGAGTCTCCTCCAGGCCCATAATTCAAAAGCATCAATTCCCCCTTACAGAGCTACAATTCCCAGCACCCCTAACTGCAGTTCCCAGGATTCTTTCTGGGAATTTCTGGGAAGTTCTGTGTGTTGAATGTGCCCTAACTCTATGCAATGCATGCACTAGAAAAAGCAGACAGGGTACTAAAGAACACCCCTCATCTCCCCACACTTGCCATTGGCATCTATAGGCCATCTCAAATGAAGGTTCTTACAAAATACTTCCAGTAAATATTCTGGTTCATGTCGCTCTTGTATGAATTTAAAGTGACATCATCTGACGTTCTTGGTTGATCATGATGGTTAAAATAGCATGATGGGAGTTGAGGCACGAATCCATATATTTCAAAGTTGTATAGGATGGTCATTTATCTGTAGAAATATGCCTGGCTACGTGTCTCATTTAAGCATTATTCTATTCCAGATTCAGTTTCACTGTGGCAAGCCACTTCAGCCTTCTTCCTTGCTGAAAAGACCTTCACTCTTACAGCTGATTCAGCCGCCTTCATTGTATTCACTTCAATGTGGGTTTATGTTTGCAGTTACTGATATTAAAACTCCATTTTGTTTAATTCTGGTTTCAGAACTCCATTAGGCACAACCTGTCCTTGAACAAGTGCTTCATCAAGGTGCCACGAGAGAAGGACGAACCAGGGAAAGGTGGATTCTGGAAGATCGACCCCCAGTATGCAGACAGGCTGATGAACGGAGCGTTCAAGAAGCGCAGGATGCCCCCCGTGCAAATCCACCCAGCTTTCACCGGAAGACTCCAGCAGGATGCTGGCTCCAGTTCATTGGCTCACCAGGCGGCGGCATCTTGGAAAAACAACAGCATCCTGAAAATCAACATGGAGTCTCAGCAGCTGCTCAAAGAGTTTGAAGAAGCCACTGGCGACCAGAACTGGAACCCAGCAGATGGGAAAATGAGCCATAAACGCAAGCAGCCACTCCCCAAGAGGATGTGCAAGACAGCCCGTCTCTCCAGCTCCCCTCTGCTTACTCAGGAAGAGCAGACAGAGCTTGGGTCTCTGAAAGGTGACTTTGACTGGGAAGCTATCTTCGACACCACTTTAAATGGTGACTTCTCCACCTTTGAGGATCTGGAGATCACTCCTCCTATCAGCCCAATAACCAGGGATGTAGACTTGACTGTGCATGGAAGACATATTGACTGCCCACAGGAGTGGTGCCCTGCCGGGCAGGATTACATCCTAACCGAATCCAACCAGAACAGCTTGGACTTTGACGAGACCTTCATTGCCACTTCTTTCCTCCAGCATCCCTGGGATGAAGGGAGAAACGATTACCTCTCGAGTTCTGTCAACATAGATCCACTCTTTGAACTCAACGATCCTTCGTTGCAGACGGAAATGAATGACTGGAGCAATGCTGGGTGTCTTTAATGAGTGACAAGAGCCCTGGCTGGAAGGCTCAAGATCATCCCAGGTTGACCTGCTGTATGAACAAGATTGGCCCAGTGCTGCAGGACTTTACACGAACAGTAGAATCCTCTAGCAAACAAGACATCTTCATTCTTGGGACCACGTGGATCGCAGAGGTGTCAGGGGTGGGGAGGGAAAGATCTGGAGAATTTGGCAGGATGTATCTGAAAGCAACACACGGGGAACTCTGTACCCCAAAAGACAACAAAATAATAATAATACAGTACTTATTTTTGTGTTCTTTTAAAGAAATATGGAATTTTTCTACTTCGGGGGTGGAGGGGATTGAAAAGGGCATATCTTCCTTGCAGGGGAGGGCATGACATTTGAATATAATGGAATAGGATGGAAGAGCTGGCCTTTTCTGGTTACTAAGAACATGTTAGATCTGTGATTTCTGTAATTTCCTCTTCCTTCTTTTGTCCATTTGCTTCTCCCTCCATCCCTCTCTTCGATGTGAGTGTGTTTGCATTGTTTCTACCCAGGGAAAAATTCTTATAGGTAAAACATGGGACAATTAAGTAGCAGGCAAATACAATTCCCATCTGTATTCTAGGAATTTCAGCCACCAGTCTATCTAGGACTAGTTTAGATGTTGACATCTGTATGTTCAGAAATGAATCAACAAGGCAAGATCTTTCAGGCTTATAAAATAGAGAGCCTACTATATATCTATATATCTATTACAAAACCTATATTTTTAGCTACAGGGCACAATCAGTAGAGTATTTACAGTGGGGGTGGGGAATGAGGATTGTTTGTAATAATGTTAATTAAGATTGAAGTGTATCAAGCATTTGTTATACAGAGGGGAAATAATAAATAAAATATGCAAGTGGGAATTCCTGCCAGTAGAGGATTTTTAAAAATCCACAAATGGGGACCTGGCATTCTCTAGACGGTCCTTTTTACTTATTTTTGTATCTTAAATTCTTTACATTTTTGCAATCCTGACTGTGTATACTGTAAAGCCTAGACATTTGAAGTCATGGCAGGCAGGCCCTTTAAAGTCTTGAACAACTAACAAAGTACCGTACCCTTTCCTAGCCGGAAGCTATGAAGGAATTTGTGTGATTAAAAGACAGACTCCGACAAATCAGTTGCCAACACAACTGATCAGTAATGAAGGGCTATTATTTTCCTCTCCTTTTGGCCAAGCGATCCCGGGTGGGTACTTCTAAAATATTCCTCTGCTTTAGTTAATGTCTCCGTATATTTGAGTCTCTAGCCAGCGAAAGTTTAAAACAAAACTCCGAATGGGCATGTTAATAAGTGGCTCTAGACTCATGGTGGGTACACACTGTGTGATAATTTGTATTCAGTGCTGGATGAAAGTGCACTTTTGAGGTGCTGTACATACCGACAACATCCCGCTGCATATTTTTAAAATGCACATTTTTTTCAAGGTGAGGAAGGAACTAAACATGTGCAAGTGTGGTGAGGTGTTGCACCATTTATTCCAGCGCTTAGGGGGTGTGACTAGACTACATGAATGGAGGGGAGTAGAGAACATCGCTGTTCACTGCTTCTTAAACACTCCTCCTACCTGTATGTACAGATAGCACAGAGACTAACTCCCGCTTTAGGCAACGTTGCTGTGCAAAGCTGTGTACAATGGCAAAGTGCTACGTACAAAAGCACTCTGTGGAATAACAAGCCCTGTGCATTTCAAACTGTACGTGTGCCCATAGCCTTAAGTGGATGGTTACAGGCCAAAGGCTGTATATGCAGTGGAAACTGCAAATGAAAGCTTCCCCCTGCTTTCTTATTTAGCTTTCATCCTAGAACTGAAGTTGCCACCCAGCTAGGTGTTTTAGCCCACAGCTAATGTTAAGCCAATAGTCATCTTAAGGTTTATGTGCATTCAAATAAAGTAAATTCTGCATATTCCCAATAGTTATGGAGATTCCCCCTGGGAACCTGGCAGTCTTGTCTGGAACATGATGATATTTTATAGGTATTTACCTTTCTGGAATGGTAGAGCTCTACTGTCTGCATTTAGCAGATGCAGAAAGAAAGAGAACGTTCTTCAAGCAAACGTCAATCCTTTTTTTCTTTACTTCTCTGCACCTTCCTGAATAATGTACACCCACGTGCATTATGTTTTGAAATGTTAATGTTTCCATCCCCTTAATCAGTCTGCCCCAATGATTTTTAAGTGGGGAAAGGCTACAACCTGGGGAGAAAAGTGCAGGCTTTCTGTTTCTGTGTGACAAATATGAAGTGCGATAAATGCCTCTTTAGAACCGCATCTGTTCACATCAGAGTATTCTGCCCGCCCACCAGTTTATTTTAACAAAAGAGCTAGACTTCCAGGGACAATAATTTGACACCTAGAGATGGCTGCTTCCCATGCTACATTCTCTTTGTTCACAATTTAAAAAAAAATAACCCGCATCATGGACACAGATGAATCTGCAGAGAATCCAAGCACAGCTCTTTGCTTTCTGCCACCTATATTAGTCCTGTGCTCACATTAGTGTGCAAGGAGAGATGCGGCAATGAAGCATTGTTATTTCCTAGCACTTTTAGTATTCAGCATGCTTTACAATCATCCTCACACCATCCCTCAAAGGTACGCCATTGAATCTCTCTATAGGCAGAAGACTGAAGGCCATTCCAAATGGCCTGGGGTGTTTTTATGTGCAGTAAATGTGCATTTGGTTCTGAGTTGCTGCACACTGTCTATACACATCGGCTGCACATTATATTTTCCAAGCACTTGACCCACATTTATTTTTTTATCTTGGGATATGCAGAGTGCACACAGTCTAGAAAGGGCAACCTGTTGACTACACATCCAACCTCCAATACAATTTTTATGTGTAATCAAGAGTTTATGAGTTCTGGCAGCACCAAGGTAGTCCCATATTTGGGATGGGGATAGACACCATTTATTCCTTGAAGCATCTGCAGGAATGTAGGACATAAATTCGCAGATAAAATAAACTGCCCCCGAGCATGGACAGCTTACACCCTGCCAAGTACTAGACTCCTAAAGGGTAACAGAGCCACACCTCCTGGGTAGTAAAAATGTTCTGCCTCATGACATTCACAGATGAACTGCCACCACCTGCCTAGTCTTCATTACTTGGGTGATAAAGCACATGGCCCCCCAAACTGGCCATCTCTAGTCTAAAATATATTGCCTCCAAAGGTCAACGTAAGAAGACTGCTCTGGAGGTACACACACACACACACACACACACACACACACACACACACCTGGAAAAGTCACAGGCATATGAGTACCTGAAAAAGCAAAGTAATGGAAGGCAAAGTATGTTCATATTCTGGGACCAGCTGGTATTAATATTGCTAATAAAAATCAACAGAGCTTCCTGGAGCTGAGCAGGATTCAGCCCTCTATTTGATTTGTAGTGGGAGTGTAGAAGAGTACTGTATCTGGGAACCATATGGATCACCTAAATATAATGGGGGAAGAGGGGAACCACTGACATGGAACTGAAATATGAGCAATTCAGATTCTAATCCACTCCTTTGCTGTTGGAAATGTTAATTTACAGTGAGTTAAAATACTAGATTTTCTTTGGAGTGTGTTTAGATTAATGAAAAATAGCAAGCTAGGAACTGTTGCTGTTGGAAACAATATTAGAAACCTTAATCATGTCCGTAGATATGTGTACATGTCTCTCTCTCTCTCCTTATTGCTTGTTTATTGAAAAATAAAAATTAGTTTGGGTAACTACTGGAAAAGAAAAGCCCTTATTTTAAATTATGGAAGAGCACATACCGTATTTCAGAACTAAAATGAAATGGGGACTTACATGCAAAATGGACCAGGTGCTCAGCATCAGTTTTGAAACAAATAACTGAGGCAAAACGGAGTGATTTGCTGAATTTAATATTTGGAACTTTAATTCAGTGCACTCAGATTTGGAATTCACCTTTCAATGGGCACGAGGCACACAGAGTTCAGCATTTTAAAATCCTATTGTTCAGTGAAAGAGTTGAGTTTGCGCTTTAACTCTCTTCCACCAAAATCAATAGGACTAAATAGAAATCCAATGGATTTTTTGTTATGTCTCTTTGTATTTTGGGATTTGGCATTTGAAGCACATATATCTGAAAAAACCTAAATATGTAAATATGTACTCTCAGATTCACAACCTAAATGTAATATTCAGCATTCAAATCAATGAGATTTTTGTCCTTGATTTCAATGGGTTCTGGTTGCAGTCAGTGACTTTACTTCAATTTATTTTTTAAAAAACCTAATACTGCTGCAAATCTAATTTCAGTGTTCTCCTAATGAGTAAAGTCGCTTTACTGCAGTCAATGACCAGTATCAGGATGACCAGTATCAGGAGGTATTTAAATTCATGTTCGTCTTGCACGTTTAAAATAGTGAGTTTGTTCAAGCTTTTCTCAAGAGGTACAGATCAGTTTAGGTCTATGGAAGTTGGCTTGAATTTCTGGACTGCCTACTGCTGAAAGCCTGGTCCCAGTCTCCATACAGCTTCAGGAGCACAGTGTAATTCTAGAGATCAATGGCTTCAGAAAATATAGCAAAGTCTAGAGGAGACTCAGCAGATGGAAGTTCTAACAGGAAAGGCAAATGTGTCTGGCTGAACCAACTACTCATCTGCGGACAAAAGGGCAAGTTGTGAGAGAATGGAATCAATCCAATTTGCCTCCTGGTGAATCTACCAGAGATAAAAATCAAATGATGCTCCTACCCACCCCCCTTTATGGCAAACTGGGAGCATTGGGCCTACCTGTTGCTCGCAGGATCTAGGTGGAGGAACATGGCACAAAGTTACTCACAAAACTCATTTGCTGCATCAGGCTTCTGCCCTTCAGATGTTTTAGACCACTGCTCTGAGCAGCTCATGGCTATGGCTGATGTGTGTTGTAGCCCAAAAACATCTGGAAGCCACAAGGTTGGCAAAGGCTGTGCTATACAAACAAGGTGGGAGCTATCTCTCAAAATGCACACACTACAAATACAAACTATTTACAAGCCTCTGTTATGATCAAACTTGCTAAACTTCCAACCAAGAAGCTCTGAAAAACAAATTCTCTGTAGCAATGCAAAACATTAATTCCACAAGTGCTTTAATGGAAACAGCAACAGAGAAAATGGTCTGCTTCCACACTGGGGCTTTCTAGCACTACTGATGGACTGGGTATAATTCAACATAGTGCCAAGAAATTTCCTGATGAATCCTTAAAGCTGGTTCTTTCAAGACTTCCCTCTCTTGTAAAGTGGCATTGCCCACTCCATGGCTCCAGATCCTATTCAGCTTAATATAGTACAGTGGTACCTCAGGTTAAGAACTTAATTCGTTCTGGAGGTCTGTTCTTAACCTGAAACTGTTCTTAACCTGAGGTACCACTTTAGCTAATGGGGCCTCCCACTGCTGCCGCGCTGCCGGAGCACGATTTCTGTTCTCATCCTGAAGCAAACTTCTTAACCCGAGGTACTATTTCTGAGTTAGTGGAGTCTGTAACCTGAAGCGTCTGTAACCTGAGGTACCACTGTATTAACCATGAAAGACAAAGGTCAAGTCAACTTGATAGTAGTCAGCACAATTGTTGCACAATTATTCGCATCTCCAGACTGTAACAACTGAAATTCATCCAATAAAACATGGCCAGAGCTTGCTACAGACACTTCCCCAGATCGTCTGGATTCATTTCAAGCTAGTTTAGGCCTACTTTGGGCACTGAAATGGCTTTGGGCAGTTCCCAATCACATTTTGATGCACCAATGATGCATAATGCAACCAGACCTGGGATTAAGGGAAGGGCTTTCCTGATCTGTTATATAACCAGTGACAATTCTACTAGGGAGACATGATGCTCAGCACTTAATTTCTTATATTTCCCTGCACATCCTCCCAGCAAGGCAACCTCCTTTGCAATGTCTACTTCCTTTGTGGAGCCTTAGCTGTAATTCCACAAGCAGCTGACAGCAGAAGAACAGAGCTACAGTAGTGCAGAGGAGTGACTCAGGCGTACTAGGCAACCTGAAGGCAAGACCAAAAACAGGGAGTGAGCAGCATTTTGGACCTCAATGATTCAGGGCAAGGGTGAATTTTCCCATCCCCTGAAGTTCACTTCAACAGGTGGATGGAGCCACCACCTGTTGATCACCTGGTGTCACTTTGACAGCAGGAAAGCCAATGATTCTTTTTCCCTTGGCAGCCCAGCTTGAACTCAAGAGGACCCTACTAAAAGTGGGATTTGCAGGCACCACCAGCTGCCTGGAAACTCTGCTTTGGTAAGGATGAGCTGCTCCCTATATTTTAGCATCACATTAGCTATCACGGGCAGAAGCATGTTACATTACTCTGATGGACCCTTTAACAAGCCCAGGACAAAAAGCAGCTTTGGGAATCATAGAAGTGTAGAGTTGGAAGGGACCACAAGAGCCATCTAGCCCAACCCTCTGCAATGCAGGAATCTTTTACCCAACGTGGGGTTCAAACTCACAACCCTGAGACCAACAGTCTCATGCTCTACCAACTGAGCTATCTCTCAGGGTGAAGACAAGGAAAAGACACTCAGGAGGAGAGGAGCACCATGGGTGTGTGTTTATGTGTGTGTTAGAGAGAGAGAAAGAGAAAGAGAAAGAGAGAGAGAGGGGTGCTTTGCTCCTGCTCTTAGTCATCCCCCCCTTCTTTTTGCACTGTGGGGTTACAAATAAAGGTTTACCTGCAAAATGGGACTGGTTCAAGATATAGACATTTAGCATAGCTGAAAAGGTGTATTAGTATCCTGTATTAGTATCCTTTCCTTTTCAGATAGAACAAAGAAGGGACTGAGGTAGCACTTCACACTCTAGAGCAGGGGTAGAGAACCTCAGGCCCGGGGACTGACTGTGGTCCTCCACACCCCGCTCCCCAAGCTGCACCCCCCTTCTCAGCCACCCCCCTCAACTGCCCTGCTTTGGAATGTGTCCTTGAGCTCTGCTAATGCCCTCTGGATGAGGATAGAGAGAGATGTGTGTTTGTGTAGAAAGTAGTTTATGGTACAGAGGTGAGATTTAGTTCCTTTGCTCACTTTTACCTCTGGCCAGGTACCTCATTGGCCTGTGGCTCCTGGAAGGTTGCACAGAAGGAAATGTGGCCTTTAATTTGGAAAAAGATCCCCCACCCCTTCTCGGGGGCGGGGGACTTGATGAAATGAAGAAAATTCAGTCCATTTCTGTAGTGGAAACTATCTTGTGCTCACTCCAAGCTAGAGAGCTCTGGTGTGGAGAAGAGATGGCCCTGAGAAAAGCACAGGAGTGAAGCACACACAAAGGAGACAGTAATAGATGAATCCACTTGAGGCTAATTATGATCAGAAGCAATTGCTTCTGTGAAGATGTTGGAGGCAAAGAGGGGGAAGGAAACATGAAAGGTTAGGGAGGGTGAACTAATGACCTTTGAGTGGCACCAAGGCACTTGAGGAACAGTACAGGAGAGAATGCCAGCCACGCACTGGTCAAGCCATGTAGTGAGTGGGTTGTTTTAGGGTGGTACCAGGTCAAAATTGTGAGCTTATGGGACACCATGCTTCATTGGGGTATGGCAGCTTCAATAGGAGGCATCCATGTATTTTTTAATAGGAAGTTTCAGCAGTCTCATAAGCTAGGGAGTATGTTAGAGAAGTTGCATTGGTTCAGGAAACCTTCACCTTTGGTACAGCCATAGGGAAAGTGGAAACTGGCAGCTAGTGAGAAGCACAAGACCTTTAAAATCATTATTACATGGAGGTGTGGCATCTCGCACAGATCCCCTTCCTTCGTTCTGCTTAATGTCCCAACACCTCACCAGGAAGATAGCTCAGATAATCCAAGAATTAAAAAGGGGGCACAGGGATTCAGCCTGCCTCAACTCCTAACAATCTGACCTCTCTATCTAGCTGAACTTTTTGTGGCCCTCCAGATGTTGCTGGACTACAGTTCCCATCATCTCTGCACCATCCTATTAGCCATGTTGTCTGGGAATGATGGGAGCTGGAGTCCAATGGGTTCCCCACTCCTGTTGTACATGAGCAAAGGGCCCTGCATCTCCTCCCTCCTCACCCATTTACCTGCCCCTGCCTGTACCCCCAACTTCTCTCCCCTCCAACTCTTAATATTCCCACTCCCACAGAGAGCCCTTCAGCAGATGAGACTGGTATCCATGAGACATTGCAACAAAAGTCTTCCAAACTATCATTAAAATAGTAATAATAATAATGGTGGACCACAGTACCGTTGAGTGAATTCTAAGATGCTCAGATCCCTTTCGTTTTATTTCCTATTATGTACCACAGCTGGGGTATCTCACTTGCCAGCATCCAAGAGGCCACGTGTGCACATTGTGCAGGGGGCTCCATAGCAAATCTACTGATGCAGAAAAGGCATCAACTGAGGTAGAAAGGACATCAATTCCCCGACAATAGGCCATTTCAGCTCTCCTTGTTGTACGCAGCCCAAACTACCCAGTTACAAGAGAGAAACCTGTGATTGCCTTGTGTGTGTGTGTGGTCATCCTTCTCTTTTCACAATATAAAAACCCCCATCACCTTGAAGTCGCTGGGGTTGGAAAAATCCAGGTACCTGTATGATTTTGGCTCCCATGGGGCCACCAAGAGCTTGGGAAGGTTTAAATGGGGAGGGAAAGTGGGACTGACGGCGGGTCAACCACCTCCCCACACCAGCAATGCTGCTCCAGCTCAACCCCCACCGCTTTTAAGTAAGTACAAATCCGTCTGTCAGGGGGACGGCAGGCCTCCCAAGTTACGTGTTGTTTAGCCCGGGCAGTTGTCAAAAACAGCTGTGCCAAGCAGCGCCTTTTTTTAAAAAAGCAAGACCCCCCCCTCCAGTCCACTCTCTTCGGCTTCTCCCCCACCCCTGCAAAATGGAAACCCTTTGAAATATAAAAGGGAAACGTGGAAGCGGATGAAAAAAAAACCCCCACCCTCCTACGATTCTTGCAGCAGCAAAGTGTCAGCCAGGCCCCAGGAGGGAGAGCGAAATAAAAGCCGCATCGTCATACGAGGCTTAGGAGGAAAGGGGTGGGAGGTGGTGAGAGAGAAACCACCACCTTTTGTCCAGTTTTAAAAACGAAACAAATTTCTGAGTGGTTTTCCACCCCACCAGTGAGGGGTTGGGTCGGGTCCACCCTTTCAAACATTTGTGCGCAACAGCAACCCACAAGATGCATTTGTAACGGGGGTGGCGGGGAGAGTAGATGGGAACAACGGTGGCGTAACCAGGGTGAGAGGTGGGGGGGGGACTGAAGCCGGGGGTCTTGTTTTTTTCCTTTTTCTTCCTCTTTTTCTTATTATTTTTAAACTTCGATTCCCTCAGAGCTTGATGCTTTCCAGCAGCCAACAAGGAGGAGATTGAGCGCAAAGAATGCGAGACAATAAAACTTTCTCCCCCTGGGTTGTCAACTTTGCCCTCCAACGTGAGCTTGGGGGGAGACTACAGCGCCTCTTACAAAGCACTATGTGTACTCAGGGAGAGAAAAAAGAAGAGGGGGGGAGAAACACCGAGAAAGGCAGGTCACGGCCCTTTCGCTGCTCGGCCTGCCCGGGCTTGCCTGGTAAAAGCAGGAGTTTTCCAACACCAAAGCTTGTGGGCAGGACTCTTCCCCACCCAGGCACCTCAAGGCCTCGCTCCATTCCCGGGGGAAGTGGCGCGCTTCCCTCCCTAACTGCAAAACCACAAGCGAGGCCAGGGTGGGGAGGAGCGAGCGGAGCTTGCCAGGGGTTTTTGTGTGTGAGTGTGTGGAGGGGGGAACGTGGTGGAATCTTATTTGTTTGTTTAAGCCAGTCAGTTTCACAAAAAGCGTTGAGGGCTATTCTCCAAAGCGGGGAAGAAAGGAAGGGTTTTTTCTTCCCTGTGTGTGTGAGCAGAGCAAATGCATTGCAGTTTGGCAGATCAAACAAGAATTGTGCAACGCAAACTGTGCAATGGCCATCGACCCTGCTTGCTGCTTTTTCTTCCACAGCCATGCAGCTAATTCGGGTTAGAGCAATTTGCTCCCCAGCCCCCAGTTGAGGCAAACTCAACCCTTCTAGACAATGGGTTAGTTGCAGGCTTCTTCGGATTAGGCAGGCCTCTTGTTGGTAGAGGGCCTGAGCATCTTTCCCACGGGCCTGGGCTAGCGGAAATTGCCTTTTCCCCAACAGCAAATGAGAATGTTTTGTTCTGGTGTGCGCACAATCACTTCCCACCTCCAGAACACCTGACCAAGACACTTAAAATGGCTGGGGTGCCCTATGGGGTGAGGGACACATTCCTCTCTCACACCCCTGCATCTAGGGCCGTCTTACCCATTAGGGTTAGTGGCGCCCGCCCATCAGGGGTGCCCAGCAGCAGGAGTCTGAGACCGACCAGGAACAGCTGCAATGGCATGCTGGGTGGTGGCGGCGGCAGCGGCTCTTCCTACAGCCAGCCACACTCTCTCACTTCCTGCCTGGGAGATGAGGCAGCGGTGGTGGCGCGCAAAGCTACACAGCGCCCTTCTCCCTCCTGCCCGACCCGCGTGGCATGTGAGCCTCAAGCTACCCAGCGCAGGGGGCAGGGAGGATGGGGAGGGGGGCCAAGAACGTCACCCTCCGCCCCTTCCATAGAGGAAAAAGGTGGAGGAGGGATTCATTCAGATTTGGGGCGGTGGGAGGGGAAAGCTGAGGGGGGGACGCACTACCATTAGGACTCAGTTCGGAGGTAAGGATGGACTCGAGAGCGTGCTCTCCATGCAGTTAGTGGTTAAAAACAAACACCAGCAAAAAGTCCTTTAAAGATGGGGGTGGGTTTTAAGGTCCTATTGCTTTGGAATTGAGGACTTCATTAGATTTTCTTCTGCCTTTTCATTTTATTTTGTTCTAAGGGTTTGTTAGAGATAATGTGTAAGTGTGGTGTCAGCTCCCTAAAAAAAGTCAACAACTCTGGGGAACCTTTCCTGAAAAAGGTCAAGAACTCTGGGAAATGGGGGGAGGGGGGCCTCAGCGCCGGAGGGATCTTTGCACCACGGCGCCGGATATGCTTAAGACGGCCCTGCCTGCATCTGCCACTTTGATGCCATAAAAACAAGAATCACAGAGCTGTAGAGTTGGAAGGGACCCTAAGGGCCATGTAGGCCAACCCCTGGCAATGCAGGAATTGCAACACAGAGTTCTCCAAGTGAGCCAGCTCCCAGGAAGCCAAACGCTGGCAATGACTATGGAGAAGTTCCCTGGGCCTGGCTGGCATCAGGTCTTCCCCACCCTTCTGTACTGCCTGCCCCCTTAGCTGGGCAGGACTCTCTCACCTCTCTGTAGCTCTCTACATGGCTGGCAGCCATCCTGCTCCTGGCGGGCCAAGGCGCCATCACTCCTGGCCAGCGCGTAAGTGGCAATTCCCTCGCCCTGCCCCGTTGCACCCCCACTGGCTCCCCTGAAAGTTCCTCAGAGAGAAAGATAATGCAGGAAGATATGGGTTGCAAGTTAATGAAACTATGTCCCCCTGAGGGCTCCCCTGAACGTTCCTCAAGTCTCTCAAGGGTGCCCCAGTTGACAACTAAT